TTCTAGATCTGCAAAAAGTGTTGAGGTATGTTAATGTTAGTCAACTTAGGTAATGGCAATTTGTCTATAAAACGTAAACTACTGCTTTATGTTGTTTATTTTATTAAGACTACTTATCTTGTTGTATAACTGAAATAAGAAAAGTAGAAATTTAAATTACAAGCAATTATTTTGTTTCTGTATAGGCCTAGATTGTTCGTATTACTAGAATTAGGATAAGCTTAATAATCAATTAATTGTTTTATTAGGGTAAAAATTTAGTAAGACTAAAAGCGTTTAAGTTTTAGCCCCAGCTTAAATAATGGATGTAGTATAATTTTAAAACATCTTATTGGACACGGTCTTCAAGACATTACACTATACAAAGCATATAAAGGCCAAACTGGGTGTTATAGAAAAGCAATATCGATTCAAAATCTATTTTCATGTTAGTTTTCTTAGAAGTAAAGTCATGCTAATGATATTCCAGCCCAACCGTCATCTGCACTATAAACAAACTTCAGTTTATTTTTTAAAATATGTTTTACTTATATATGTAATATTCCTAATTTCAAATATGGCAATATTATGTATAATAAAGTCATTATTTTTCCGTTTTTTTTTTTTTAAAATTCATGAACAGCATTCTTTCAGGAATGGGCATCTGTATTGCATTCAAAGTACTCGCTGCGCTAGTTTTTGTTGCTGGTGTGGAACCAGATTGTCGATATGTAGACTGGAGCGTTTCCTTTAAGAGGCTTGGACTGTCAGAGTGTGATCGATTAGGAGACATGATTGACAGTTTATGTAGAAGTCCAGTAGGCCGATACGCTGATCTTATTGACCGACTGGAACGTGTTAGATGCTGCAGTATACCATTTCCATGGCAAGAGGGCTATGACTATGTTCACGAAAATTGGTGGTATTCTATGGAAACAGATTCTACCTGGTCATTGTGTAGACCTGGGTATTTCCTCACTGGTCTGTATAGGTCAGTATTTAAGTTATACCTCAGCGACCTCGAGGAAGGACGCTGCACAAGACCACGTAACCATCCTTCTAAGTATGGACACTGCGAGGATGTTGACATCTCGGATTGTTTTGAGCAGGCTAAGTGTTGCTCTTGCCCAGAGGGAAGCTTCATTGTTGGTCTGTATCGTGGTAATTGTAACGACCTAGGATGCTTGGACAAGCTACGCTGCTGCACGCTGGCTGAGTCACCGCATTAAACAAAAAGATCAATGATCGAAAGCAGAGGCACTATGTTTTTGGATTCAATAAATGAAAATGTATACATACATACATGACAATTCGACTGACCATTAATAAATTGTTAATACTTCATTGCTTTAAAAGTTGTCTTTATCTATATACTAAGCGCCCCGGCAAGGCCCGGCACTGGCCACTGTGAAAGGACCACGACATGTGTGTTTAGTAAGCATATACACGGCATTACCCAACCTAACCACAACCAACTAAAACCAAAACACAAAAAAACGCAAAAAAACACACACACAGCCACAAAACCAAACGCAAACAAGCACAAAGAAAACACAGACACAAAAAAACCCCCCAAAAAACCCATTTCCAAGCATAAACTCAAACACAAACGCAACGTCAACCCTAACACAAATAAAACAAAAACTCAAACCTTAACGCAAAGTGCCCACAGTTTATCCCGGGGCGCCAAATCGCACCATGCTGGGGGGCGGGCGGAATCACCTGTTTCAGCTTAGTAAACGACTGTAGTACCCAAACGCACTCACAGTCGTTTGCACACACTTAATTGAACTTAGGCGCCATATCGAACACGGGAAGGCCCAGGGATCGCCAAATAGCGCCCTGTCGGGGTGCCGGAGGACGCCCGGATATAATTCACTTAAAGACTATAATAACCTTTCTTATCCATACTTTATCCACTGTCTAAAACAAAATTATGCACTTAAGCGCTCACAGAATAGCCCAGGGCGCCAAATCGAACCGTGCAGGGGCGCCTGCGAACGCGCTGTTTCAATTTAGTGAACAATTAAAATACCACAAGTTTATCCGCAAACGAAAGAAGTAAAGATATAGCAGCTGGCTTCTTAACTGGTATTGATATTTTTAAAAAATAATTAGTAAACAGTACGTTCAGTGCATAAACAGTGCATAAAAAAAAAGACAGTATCTAAATCACCTACTACAATGTGCTTGATCAATCCGTGATAGTTATGTAAGTATTGTTTTCCCAACATCAAATCAAAATAATAAAAAGTATTTTTTTCCTCAGATATATGTTTTTTATATAAAGGGAAGTAATTGTGTTTTCCTAATTTATCCAAGGACGTAATGAGTGCTAAAGAACTAAATGTAGATAATTTTCAGACATAATTTAAATTTGTGGAAAAGTTGATAAGTTTTTTAAAAAAGTGTTTTTTTAACATGCCGGCAATTATTATAATAAGTTTGAAAAATGAAAATTGTTTTACAGTAGCTCAAATATGAATTTTTAAAATCATGCACACGGAAAGATATAAGTAAATATAGAGGCTGTTTTGAAGCGACTTTTAACTGGTATTGATTAATAATGATAGTCAGTAAACAAAAACATACCCCCCTCACATTCCCGCAGAAAATGTTTGTGTGTCCTAAATTGTCAACAACAAAAAATTGAGTTGATATTGGTGTTACAAAATCAAACAATCCATCAAAAAAACTATCGTGAACTTTGTTGCAGGGTACCGTGTCAGATAGGAGAAGAACGGAAAGGAAAAAACGACATTAGATAGATAGATTCAATGACAAATATTCTCTGGACAAATCATCCAGACGAGATATATATCAAGACACATAATCTCAAGGACAAATGATCCACAGCCAAAAGATTTCATGATAAAATATATCAGACAATATCTCACAGCAAAATTCGTATAGTATTTGAGATAATTATAGTTTTATTTTTAAAATTTTGCAAAAAAATTGATTGTCTAAATGATTTAGTGAGAAAAGATTTGTGGCATAGGTTCGTCACATTGCCTTTAACGTATTAACAGGGGCCGCAACCAAATAAATTGTTAAATTGTTAAATTATCCCACTGACTGGTAAACCATAGTATGTGTTAAATTTAAATCATCGCAGATGGGTATCTGCTCTATTAAGAAGTCAGATTTTCGCTGGACAACAGCCAGGCTAGCATTGATTATAAACTTAAAACACCAATGTCACATTACGTTCCTTTAAAACAAAATCTTTCTTTTTGGAAACGTTTTGACCATAATTCGGTTAACGTATCATCATTTTATTTGATTTATTCATTTTTATATCTAAAACTTTTATACAAAGTGCTATTAACAAAAAAAAAGTTAACATAGTCTTCTGATCGTAAATAAAGTAGGCCAACATAAAATCCATTTGACAAGAAATACAAACATGTTAAAATCAACTAAAAGAATCATAGTTACTTAAATATTTTACTTTAAGATAATTTGTCTGAGACTTTTTGTCTGAGATCATTTGTCATGAAATCATTTGTCTTGTCAACCATTGATGACATCAAGGATTTGTCTGAGAACTTATCAACGTGGACGAAGAAATATAAAGTCAACAGTAAGACACCAATAAGGGTTAAAAAAAACAAATTTCACTTTCGTGGACGAGTTCCATACTAATTCTATACAGACGGTATTAGTCATATGATCTGGTTCAGTGAATAGAAAAAAAACGTCATGGTAAAGTCATTAACGTGTGACACAGCGTCAGCCTCGCTAAACATAGCACAATGTGTGAGGGTCGCGGTTTTTTCAATAGACTGGTTGTTGTAACGGTTGGCTAACACTTACTAGGATATTCCTTGTTACAAAGTAATTTGAAAGTAAGCTACACACTTTATAATGTATTCTCTTACTTTCCTCTTGGGGAGTTTGATGTCAGTGAAGAAATGTTCTTAAATTAGTATTTTTTATGTTGTCCTATATTGTATAATCCTGCTTTGGTCAATATAATCACATATTACAATTTAATAAAACTTTATGGATTTTTTAAAAGTAAGATAAAATATACACGACAAACCAATGTAAAGCACATATAAGGATGTGCTTTTTTTATTCTGTCAGTAAATTAAATAAAGTGGAAATTTACATTTAGAAGGGTGTGCGGACCTTTGACCACAGGTGCTTTGACCATAGGGGCTTTGACCATAGGGTCTTTGATCACAGGTGCTCTATCAACGGGTGCTTGATCATAAGCGCTGTGTCCGGCTTTGATCATAGGATTTTTGTCCACATAGGGTCTTTGATCTCAGGTGGTTTGTCCAATGCTATCCATATATGGTAAGGATTTATTTTAAAATTTGCTATTTTATATTTTAAATTGCGACATGATGTAATAACATGTTAAATTATCATGTATAAATACAAGTTTTGTATCATTTTTATCCTTTATATATGCTATGTATTTTCAAGTACATCTACATTATGTATTTGTGAAACTTGTTATATGTCGAATTTTTTGTGTTTCATTTATATTTAAAATAAATCTATGAGGCCTAGCTAGCACTAGCCTTTATGTGGAGACTAAATATAGTTCTTGACTTTTTTAAATACATGTTAATTTCTATTAACGTAATCTCAGAAAACATGTATCTTCTTCTTCTTCTTCTTCTTCGTTCTTAATTTTTTAGTGTTGGGAGGGATCGAGCCTTATCTGCCAGAGTGTTGAACTCGAACCTTTTTTCGAATTTATCAACCCTGAGCTTTTGCCGACTCGACCATGCTTGCATCACAATTAAGGATTACTTGTCAACTGGTTATGCGCCATTGACGCCATTGACTCCGATTTCAGCCTGCTTTATCCAACCAAGAACAAACTACAAGGCAGCAGTAGTTTGATCTTGGAGTTGTCTCTCCTAGAAGAGTGGCTGTCACCAGCTATCGAGCCTTATCTGCCCGAGGGTTCGAACTCGAGACTTTTCGGCTCAGCAACCGTGAGCTTTACCGACTTGACCACGCCGACTCCGAAACATGTATAAAATCGTATTAATTGTGTCATAAATTTAAATCAAACAAAAATTAATAATTTTTATTTTAAAATCTATATATTATGGTTAGCCCCCCTCTGTGGTCAAAGCCCCGTTGTGGTCAAAGCCCCTATGGTCAAACCCCCATGGTCAAACCCCCTATGGTCAAAGCACCTAGGACATTTAGAAGGCATACCTTTTACTATTTTTATTTTTTTCTCCCTGTTGGCAATCACAAATGTGAGCTGTGTTATAGAGGAAAAGCTGCTAGACAACAAACTATTAATGGATTTACTAAGAATTCGGGTCACAAGGATTTTATACATCTAAAGGATTTTAATATCAATTGTCTTCCCTCACGTTACCATGACAATGACCTCATGTTTGAAACAATCAAATCATTGCAGCCCTTAATGTCCAGGTAAAGACTAAATTCACCAGTCTAGAGAGACCAGAGTTTTACCCAGGCACTTAAGTTCCATATCCATTTTATAAAGACAGAGGAAGCCACGTGATGAGGTTAGGGACCGGAAGAGTGTGACTCGATGAACTGGACAAAATGTGTTGTGCTTTTAGATCAATGCAGAGAATTATATAAACAAATACAGGAGATTTGATGATGTGGACAAGTTGACCGTTATAGTGTCACATCCTAATGACTGTCCTAAACAAGTCTCTGAAGGACAATATAAGAGGGATTGCAGCTATTGGTACACAATATGTACATGTCCAGGCTCCAGTGGAGCGACTGTCTACAGGCAGGGATATGGCGTATCGGTTAATCAACATAACCACAGTGAATCAAACTCGAATAGAAAGAAATATTGGGGAGTTTGCGTGGTGATAAAACGGTTCGTTCTTGTCCACACATTTCAAAAATAAATCGCAGAACATTTCCCTCATTAATGATGTACGTTGACGTAAACTGTTAACCGTTATTATTGTCATCTACCATGATGAATGTTACATATTTTTTGTTTAAAAGTGTTGTAAATAATATGTGCATTACTAAGTCGCCATATTGTTGTCCTAGAAATTGATATCAAAATACGATTTTCTTTTATATGGTTATTACGGGCCTACATAAAAAAAAATCTAAACAGAAAACAGCTTTGTTCTTTAATATTAATTAATGTCAATAGATGAGTTTGTTGAAGAATTAAAAAATGTTCGTCTAAATCGTTATTAGTGTCTATCTTTTGTCCTGTTGTCTGTAATTCTAAAAATAAACATCAAAGCTTCAAATTAAATTAGTAAAAACTGTTTATATAATTTACAATACATTACCAAAAAAATAATAGTCTAACTTGCTATCATAAAAAAAACCTTTAGGTATTTAGTCGCCTTTAAGACCAATTCAA